TCTATTTGAATTTTTATGGGGTTAATCTACATATATTAAGTGCTTATGTCAGACCAAATTCTTACTTCTGTGAAGAAATTCAAAGCAAGAGAAAGCACAGTTGCTACCCTTAAGGAGCCCATAATTTAATATAGGTCTAACATTAAAGAAGGAAAGAAAGTACAGCCAAGTAAATATATTTGTTGAAAAACAGGGAAAAATGCTACCCAATCTACTATCACACTAATATGATATATTTGGGAAGTTTCTGGAGAATCAAAAGACTTTTTTAAAATAAGGTCCCACTGCATTGAATTCAAAGACTGTTTTGGATCAGTGTTTCTTAACCAAGGTGATTTTGCCCCCAGAGGACATTTGGCAGTGTCTGGAGACATTTTTGGTTGTCACAATGAGGGTGGTAGGGTGCTGCTGGCAACTGGTGTGTAGGACCAAGAATCCTGCTAAACATTGTAAAACATAGGACAGAACAGCCCTCTCCACACAGAATTATCTGGTCCAAAATGCCAATAGTGCTGAGGTGGAAATACCCTGTTTCAAATCAAGGCTCAGGTGTAATTAGAGCAGATATCTCTCATTTCACAAAATCAAATCTGGACTTCTATCAAGATGGTGACAATAGATTATGTTTGGAACAATTTTCTGTCTGATTTTTGTATGTCAAAAAAACATGTTAAATCAATGGCTGATTATATCTAAATAAAACTTATCTTCTTAGAATAATCTCTGAATTATTACTGAAAAATCCAAATTTTGTCTTGGCAAACTGGAGGGTAATTGTAAAATCACATGATGACTTGCTGCCTCAGAAGCTGGTAGAATTCACTTTCACATGGTCTTTAAGAAAGGGAGCAAGATGGAGCATGTTGTGGAAACCAACTTCAAAGGCTATGGTTTCATTCCAAATTCTACTATGTAATGAACTTCATAATTCAGTCATAATTATTGAGCTGCATATCTGGCTGCAAGCATCCAATTCTTATTCTTTTTCCCTCAATGAAAGGATATTTTTTAAACAAATGTAGGAGGTCATGAAAGCAATATTCCTTAACTAACAGAGGAGAACTTTGTAACTCATAACAAGCTGCAAGAGTTACCCAGGGAAGCATGGCTCAATTCAACCAGAACCAATTTGTGTTTGCTAAATCCCAGCTGCATGCCCAGCACTGTTCTAGGAAAAGACAGGAGGCTGACAAGGGGAACAGCAAGATGAGACAAGCCCCCATGGAACAATCAGAGACACCCGACAAATCTAGGGTGGGGCTTCTGTTGCCCTGACAAGAGAGCCCTGTGCCTTTCAATTAACTGGCTATGACTTGGCTACTAGTTATGTAGCCTGAGAGAATAGGCCTGAGAAATGCCAACCCCGGTTGTGGCAATCATCCAAGACATTTATTCATTCAACAAATAAATACTGAGTGCCTACAACGTGCCAGGAATTTTGGGGGGGTGCTGGGATCCAGTTCTGAGCAAGACGGGCCGAGCTCTTGTTGCACGGAGCATGCAATCCTGCATGACCCGCTTGCCTTGTCTCCCATTTTTACTGCCCACCAGCCACAGTCCCTTTGGCCCTTCCTCCTATTTTTATGTCTGCACATAGCCCTTAGACATGATCATGTTGATTTTAATATTAAGCCCTTTCTAATAACTTAGCTGGTCCTCGCAGTCTGGGTCTTTCTACCCCTAAATACTTGCAGTAAAATACCAGGTCCATTCCAACACTAATGCATGGCAAGATCCCTAGGTGGACACAACTGATCCTTGGCCAGTGGGTGATCAGACATTGAGGGGCACAGTCTAAAGGAAGCAGCTGCCCAGGGGATGCAACAAAACTGGTGATTTATGAGTAAACATGTCAGAAATGGGCGGGAGATCAACCTGGAACACATGTCATTGGATGAGATTTGCAGGAAGCAGAGCAGAA